ACACACACACACACACACACACACACACACACACACACACTCACGTACGCATGCGCGCACGCGCGTACGATGCAGGGGCGGGACCGCGACAGATGTGCATGGTAAACCGACCTAAAAACTTTACGTTGGTCGCAGCATCTCGCCACAATTCTCCACCTATGCTAATATACGTAGGAATGATGCTCGCGTCGCTGGCCGCCGTTGACAGCCAACATAATTTTCAGATTTATTAGAGAATATATGAGGTTTTGACGCTATATTGGGAGTACAAACAAGTACAGTAAACATAGCGTTACAGTCGGCGTTATAGTGCAACGGAGTTTTACTATAGAGTAACGAAGTGTTACAGTGAACATAACTATAGATACGTCACATATACATTCCTTATAAGCTAACTCAACAGTTGTAACGATGGTAATTTCAATTAATGGTCAAGTATTTACATTATTATATATATATACAGAAAACATTCCACTAGCAATTGGGTGATTATGGCGCGTGAAGTTTGAATAGCAGTTGGAACAACGTGAATCCAATAGAAAATATCTTCAAAAATGCATTTCTAGTTATCATAAATTGGGAGGTAGTACACACGTAGATTACAAACGATATATATAGGCAATTACGCTAACAGGTGGTTGGGATAGCTTTCTTTGCGTATAAACGTGAATTAAGTTATGCATTGCGTGAGCGGTTCCCGTCTGTCTGTGTAGCATGGTTAGTAATTGGCATTCTTAGCATTTTTGGAAACTCCATTTCGTCGGAAACATTACATATCATGATATGTATGCGCGCAACTGCGTATGACCGAAGACACGAATTTAATAATACACCTTACATACACGCACGTACACGCACCGACCCACACACAGGAACCCACACACGCACCCCCACCAACTTAGACGCATAACCCACGTACACGCATCCACCCGCGTATAACAACGTGACTATATGGAGTGCTATTACATGTTAATTTCAGTACAACGAACTTGGTGATCAGACATTCATTAATAGTATGGTATGCTCACTGCTGCTTCTCATCTGCATTGCTTCCGTGCATGCTGTCATCTTCCCAAGGTAGGTCAACCTGTTCCTTCACCCGTACATGCCGCGAATTGTTAATGAAATAAAGGTAAAAAATCTAGCTGAAATGTTCGTGCATGGTTTATACTTTAGTCCTCCACTCATGTTTGATCAAATTTGCATTGAACAATAAATGTACTATTTACTACCGATAACGTGTTCACGGACGGAGCTATGACGTCATGCATATCTCAACGCTGTCAGGCAGCGAACGGTAGCTGTTATACTGGCCCGCAAATGGGAGGCAGTCGAAGCTCACGTAGAGAGAGACGAGAATTGATGAAGATATGTGTGTATAATACTATCTTTCATTAGCAGCTCGGTGAGGTCAAACGGCTCTACCAAGTGAAAACACTATACTGACAAATTGTTGCGTAAATAAAATATACTTTACCCCTTTTCTACTCTGTAGGACACTGATTTTGCTCCTTCTCTTCGTGTTGACATTCGCATGGATTGCGACGGAGCTGGTATTACTAGTAGCATCTCGGTTCAAGGTCAGAAATTAAAATATTAATAAATTGCGTAAATATATTGTTAAGTGTACGCGTAGACTAGGAAATGACGCGTGGAGATGTACGTCCATAATGAACGGTCACGGAGTCATCAGTGTACCAATATATATTTTGTCGATGACCTCTAACGTCCTTCATCGTAAAAGGATCCGATTGCGTATGCAATATACGTTCTGTATGTGTGTGTGTGTGTGTGTGTGTGTGTGTGTGTGTGCGTGCGTGCGTGCGTGCGTGCGTGCGTGCGTGCGCGTGCGTGCGTGTGGGCACGTGGGTGTATATGTGCGTGCGAGTGTGTGTGCTGCGCGTCCGCACGTACGCATTGTGTAGACATGTTCAGGATTTTGCTTTCTTCGCGTCGCTGGCTTGATGGCGATTGGCGTTCACGTGTGTTGCAGTGGGTGATAAGGGACGTGGGACGGAGCAGCGCTGTCCGGCTGATGTTCACGAGCGTTACGGCCGTCATGCTACAAGCCGTCGCCGTCGTCAACATGGTAAGATCGAACGCCGGCGGCGAGGGTTTCAACGTAAAATAATTTTTTTTAAAGATCACACGAGATAATCTGATAATCTAGAAAAGCTTAGATAATTTATTTTACATTCAATTTTGGATTAGAATTAGAGCAATTAAAGTAAATTAACAAGCAACAATTAAACGAGCAATAATGAAACACCAATCTACAAACGATTGCTCCCATATTTCCCCGATTACATTGGCATAGGAATATAGGCATAGGAATAGGTTATAGGCATAGGCTCCAGGCATTGAATATCGAATCAGAATCGATCATTTATCGTGTTGTCGTTTTTGTGGTATGCGCGGTATTTGTGAGCAGCCGGATTTCACATATACGGGGGGGTATGATAACAGATTGCCTGCCTAATGCTAAAATATCTTCATGTAATTGCTGAATTAAATGATTATTCATTAATTCAACTTAATATAAACTAATTATATATTAATTTACTTTGAATAACTAATTATATTTACGTATACAGTTTTTGCACTCACGTGTGCCGGCGAGGCGCTAGCGAATAAGACCAATGGCAGAGAGAGGCGCCACCATTCGCCGAGAGTCCACTACATGCCGTGTCTTCGCGCACGGTGTGCGCGCGTACCGCACTACCTGATTGCCTGTTCGCTGCTCGTCTACCTCGCCGTGGCTGTCTTCATCCGCACTTCTGCCGTCTACAAGTTCATCCTGTCTGTTCATGCTTGGCGGACTGCGATAGGAGTTATTGTCAACCCAACGCTTCTTCTGGTGTTCAAGTGCTACGATATATTTTTCCGCGTAAGAACCGACAATGCCGATAAACAATGAAATAGATCATTTTTTTAATTTAGATTTGCTTCAGTTCATTTGTATGTGCGTGTTTACCACAGGCACTTCGAACGATCTCAATAAAAAAGGTAAATAAACACGAAATGTATTTTACTACAATAGTCTTAATGTTCTCTACTCTATTTCGCCTATAATCACCTGTAAATGCCGGTCAAATGCTCATCTGCAACACACAAGTACACCGCACGCTAGCGCTGCACACTGCACATAAATATATAGTTATATAATATATGATATGTTATATATATATAACTATATATTTATGTGTCAGTGTGCAGAGCTAGCGCGCGGCGGCCAGCGTGTGACAGTGTATTGAGATGAGCATTTGGACGGCATTTACAGAAATTGTCCGGCAATAATAGTGAAAGAGAGTGTAGAGAAACATATAGACCTTGGTAGTAATAGGTTTCGTATTTATTTAGCATTATATTTTATTGAAAACGCTCAAGTGCCTGTGGTGTTTACTTGTGCGGTCGTGCGCGGGTGCGTAGTGTGTGTGTGTGTGTGTGTGTGTGTGTGTGTGTGTGTGTGTTGTGTGTGTGTGTTGTTGTGTGTGTGTGTGTGTGTGTGTGTGTGTAGTGTGTGTGTGTGTGTGTGTGTGTGCTGTGTGTGTTTGTGTGTGTGTGTGTGTGTGTGTGTGTGTGTGTGTGTGTGGGTGCATGTGTGTGTGTGTGTGTTTTGTGTGCGTGCGTGCGTGCGTGTGCGTGTGCACGTGTTCCTACAATATCATTGGCCCTGATCCACGCGAGAAAGCCTAGCTTTTCTCATTACCTTTACATTATCTAATGCACATCTTATCTATGTTGTCTATACAAATAGAGCGTCTACGGCCCCGCAAACTGCTCATCATAGGAATGTACTAAATGTGCGTAATGTGTAAAATCGTACTGAGGGGGGGGGGAGGGGGGGGCGGGGGGGGGGGCGGGGGGGGGGGGGGTACATGAATTTATAACATACATACATACAATATACATACAATGGCATAGCCATACATACATAACATACATACATACATACATACATACATACATACATACTACATACATACATACATACATACCATAACGTACGTGACCGCACGCACAGCACGCAACGCACGCCACCACGCCACGCACGCAACGCCACGCCACGCCAACGCACGTCCACGCAACACACACACACACACACTTCTGATCCTACTAGATTACACTCCGATATATCAGCACATCTTTCTCGTGCTTTACCGAATCTCACTAACATACTTACTACTGACAATATTAACGGCGTACGCTCTCTTCACGGTGTTAACGCCTAAGCTACGATGATACACGCACGCAAATTTTATCTCGATATCGCTCGCGCTGTGACGCACTCACACACGCACGAAGCCCCAGGTGTGCGTCTGTGTGCGACAAAACTAGAATAGCAATGTTCTTAACATTATCTAGCATTCGCACGCGAATAGGAATCGCAGGAGACTTCGGTTCGAAAAACGCTGGCGCACGCGCAGTTGCGCTTAAATCGCACCCCCAACCCTGCCTCATGTTTACGTTATACATGAATTTACCTTGTTACAGTTCAAAGGTGCCGCTATTCGTGACGGCTATTGTTGTGCTCTCCACGTTCATCGTCTTCCTATACATCCACGGTCGCCAAGTCGAATGGATGAGTCGACTAGACTTTCTGTGGATGACACAGGTGAGATACGACACACGTAACAGCTCATATTTAATTTAGATGCTTTGAAGGTAAGATAAATGCGGGGATGCAGTGCAAACATTCGGGCCACGATACTGCAAACATTATTCATTAGCACGCGAAATTCTGAACTGAACCGCATCATTTCATCTGTACGAAAAACCCAATTACGAAAAGATTTCAACAACAAGTGAAGTCGGTCGCCTACACAACACGATTGAATATCCGCCGCCAGTTTTGTTTGCGTAGTACTTTAATTTTCTACTTCTACTACGTTTTACTTTTTTACTTCTACTAAGTTTTACTTTTTTACTTCTACTACGTCTTGGGGCACAATTCGCTGAACGTTGATATCGGTCGGACGTGATACAGCTAGTATCGATATTTCACTCGCAGCTTTTCTAACCAAGAAAACCGTCGTTAGAAATGGATTTACAATACAGAGTAGTCGTTGCGCAATTTCTTCTGCTGGCGTTTCTGCGTATAGTTTTGGACACTCACTAATAACTTGCTAATAATGATGGCCAGACATGAGACGGCCGCGTACGCTAGTGATGTGATCTCTATCTAGTCGAATCAGAAAAGTTAGTACCTGGTGACTGCTGCTGCTGGTGGTTGCTGCTGTATGCGAAATAATTATTACTTCCACGTAAGGGATAATTCTGCCAGTGTTGCAATAACGATCCTGCATGCTCACGTACGTTGTCGTGTGTCGAGCTGCCCACGTCTTTCTGCCTAAAGCCTGAAGTTAAGCAAAGCCGCGCAGATTTTCCAGTTATTAATAGTGCCCTACATGGCAGCGAGCGTGCTCCGTGATGTGTTTTTCTATGAGTAAATAATTGATGGCGCCGCGACGCGATTGACATACAGGCGGATGAAGAGAAAGCTGAAATGAACGAGCTGCAGTACAACAACAGGCGGATTCTCTTCAACCTGCTGCCAGCCCACGTCGCCAGTCATTTCCTCGATAATCTCAATCGGCGCCACGACGTGAGTGTATAGTGGTGGTAGTACTACTACCGCTACTACCGCTACTACCGCTATTACCTTTACTACCACTACCACTCCACGCCCGCCGCCGCCGCCGCCGCCACCACCCACCACACCACCACCACCACTACTATTACCACTACTACTAACTACTACTAACTACTACTACTACTACTACTACTACTACTAATAATAATAATAATATTAATAATAATAATAATAAACATCATCATCATCATCATCATGATCATCATGATGATTGTTATTATGATGATGATAATGATGATGATGATCATCATCATTATCATCATCATAATAACAATACGCTTTTTAATTGTTGTCATTGTGGTTACTTAATATGAGCGTCGTATAATATGAGAATAGTTTTGTGGTTTGTGTTCCCTTAGGATTTATACCATCAGGACTATAACAAAGTCGGCGTTATGTTCGCCTCCATCGCTAACTTTCACGAATTTTACATGGAGTTGAATTCCAACAATCAGGGAGTCGAGTGCATCAGACTTCTCAATGAGATTATTTTCGACTTCGATGACGTGAGTTTTTTCTATCAATCCTATATAGTAAGGTATATATATCATCATCGTATACGTTATACGGACGAGCTCGTATATTCAAATGCGCGCGTGTTTGTATGTATATATATATATGCGTGACGTAATAGTGTATATAAGACTGGAGAAACCTTTATAGCTGCGAGAAAGCAATGTTATTACTAACATTAATCTGTTGGATTTTATCAGTAATTTGAAGGAAACCTTTAGAATTGAAGACTTGCTTATTATATCTATCCAGCAACCGCGTTTCTGAGCTCATGTACTTACTTCGTGCTTTGCTTGTACAGCTTCTCACAGAGGAGAGGTTCGCCGCGATAGATAAAATCAAGACTATCGGCAGCACATACATGGCGGCCGTGGGACTTGTGCCGGAGTATAAAATCGATGTAAGATTATTTATATATACGCACACATAATTATAGTACAGTGGATAAACACGTGCAAATTTGTCGTATTATGCACTTTTGGGGTAGGGTTACAAAACTTGTTTACACGTGTACGAGCGCTCCTGGCGTTTGAGTGGATGTTCCAATATGTCATTTTTGGGGTTTGACCATGAATTTGACATTCATTATCTGATTAAATAAAAACTAATCGAGTAAAATCTATTCAATGGACATAGATATCTTTTAATTGTAAAAATATCCCTTCGAAGCAATTAAATGGGCGAAATTAATGGTATTTAGTTTACGCAATCACGTGGACAAGTACACTGGTACGTAGGCAGGCATCAAGCCGCATACACGCACGTGGGCATAAAAACACATACGCACACATTTGTATTATATCATTTAGATGTTAATTACTAAAGCAGCACGCAAGACAATAACTTTTAATAATGCTTAACAGCAGTATTTACATTGGTTATTTCCTATAGCTTATGGCTATGAATATGGTTCTGGTTATTTTATTTTCATAACTATTAGTTACGATTAAACAACACAATTATAAACCAAGTTTGCAGCCAATCACATCGCTGTTAATACAACGGAATATGGTTAGATTATTTAGCCACGTGTTATATTTTGTATTGAATATATTAGAGGAAGATTGGAAGCAATGAATTGGTTTTTTCCTTAGGATACTGAAGAATCGTTGCTGCTTTACTTGGAGTGTCTCGTCGAATTCATGTTTGCAATAAAAGAGAAATTACTCATCATCAACGAAAACTCATACAACAACTTTGTACTAAGATGCGGTAGGTAAAGTCTCGCAGATTACGTTTTATTACGTTCGGTTCTTCGTCATTATTAGCCATGCAGCAATTCACCTGTAGCTTTGCCTAGCAATCATAAGTATGAAAGTGACATATTAGAAATGCTGTTTATGAGATATAACCAGGAGTCTATCAATATTGATAGACTCCTGATATAACTATAGATGGCACTGCATGCTTAGCAGACGTTATAAACCTAACCTACCTATATTGCGTCATGGATAGGCAATAAGCCACATGCTCACCTTGTGCGCTCGGCGGGTATTTTCCTCATAGGCCTACTGGTAAAACGTTGGCAAATATTTACGTGTTAGTAAAACGCAAAGGGGATGCACGTGAAACATTAGCGAATATCGACAAACAAATGTGTTTGCATACCAGGCGCCAACTGTGGTCCGTGCGTGGCTGGGGTCATAGGTGCAAGGAAGCCACAGTACGACATCTGGGGGAACACTGTGAACGTTGCTAGTCGCATGGACAGTACAGGTCTCCCGGAGAGAATACAGGTATTAAGCAGTTCCGCCATCTAGACGTCATTATTGGAAGCAATGTTGCCTAAACTAATGACTGCCGAATGTAACATGCGCGGTAAATAACGCCATGTCGATATCGACGCGATTTTCCAGATCAGGCATATCGAATTGAAAATATTTCTCGCTTCCGTTAATATTGACATTACTGCGATGTGGATATTCGATATACATATACTGATTGTAATTACTCTGCCAAAATAACGTTGGACCCCGAGGATAAAATACGAGATACGGAAGTTTTTGATTCACTTGATCATCACGCCTAATTGGATTTATATTAGCTATCGGAAATAGAGACGCACTACCGTGAGCGTATTAGACTGTCGTAGAATATCGCCACTTTTTAACATACATGAAGCTCTTTTTGTCGAATAGGGATATATGTCGTGTTCGACATAACCGCTCACGTAACAAGTTGGTAGTTTATTAACAAATTAGATGAAAAACATAATTGCTTAAATCAAGCACAGCCTGATATATATTTTAATGCATAGGTTACTGAGGAAATGTACCTGGTTCTTAAAAAAGCCAACGTTTACGAATTCACGTGCAGGGGTGTTATCCCAGTAAAAGGTAAGGAATGCTGTTTGCGTTTAAGAAAAGTCGGACACTAAGAACAATATTTATGCAACTCCTATGTAAGATTCATTACTTTTATCACATCACACTATATAGGCATATATTGTAGAATGAATACTAAGCGATAATAATAACTGTATTGTATGTAACAAAAGATGAAATATAGAATACCAAAAAAATCACGAATATTTCAACCCATGATTTGGTGTCTATAATTAAATAACCAAAAATTGATTAAACTATACTTAGTCTCATCTAGTTTTAATATAACCATATCGACACCATTTATAACCTATTTTGTCTATTACGATTTGATTATCATCAATATCAAGTCCATAATAGAAATTCTATTATAGATTTCTATAATAGATTTCCATAATATATTTCTATTATGGACTCCTGATCAATATCTTACGCGTCATAAAACACCTGTTAAATTGTTACATATAAAAGTAATCGTATAAAAAAAAACTTTCTGCATGGCCAGCGTGAGTCACCGTTTAATTGCTCAAATTGTAATAACGTGCTAGGTAAAGGCGATCTTACCACCTACTGGCTGACTGGGAAAAGGGAAGGGCTCAACGTGCACACGCTATCGACTAGCACGGTGGGAGGCCGGAGTCGCAGCGGCACCGCAGGTATCTACGCGATGCTAACTGCGTGAACAACGCGCCTCTCTCCAACATGTTCTGCTTACATCTATGACAAATACGACATACGCATATACGCTCTCCTATGACACCATTTGTCATAGGAAGATTCTTCCTATGACAAATATTGGCGAGTCAACTTCGTTCCGCTTTACAGCTGAAATTCACTGCTTGCGTTCGTAATAGCGCTTCTAAACTCCTATGATGCGCACAACACATACAACAATATTTATCATAGGAAGAATCTTCCTATGACAAATATTGTCATAGGAGAGCGTATATGCGTATGTCGTATTTGTCATAGATGCTAGCAGAACAGGCTGCTCTCACGGCCTCGGCCTCGGACAAATTCAAAGCCGGAGAGATTACGCGTCTTAATTGGTTTGACGTGTGTAAGCTGACCTCGCCGATCTCTCAGTTTGATAAACGCGTAAGGAAAACATGATAAGACCGGAGCAGTAAGCGATCGAAGGTAAACGAAAGGCGGGACCATAAATTCGTCGAATCTTTCCACGAGCAAAGATAGTGTGTATATATGATAATTACCAGTGTGATCACTTCTTCCAGACAGCCACGCGAGCCTCGGCATAGCTACACCAACAGGGAGAGACTCTCCCAGACCCGGAAGCCTCGCACCGCCAATCGAGGAGACGCAGGAGGGACAGGACGATAATGCGCTTTCGGGGAAGCCTGGCGGAGCAGTGCAGGCTTCGTCTGTTGGAAGCAACAACAACGCGAAGCCTACGTCTTTGCGACTCAGCGCTGCACGGCCCCCCGTCCCTGTAGCACGGGTAACCCCATCACCGACGCTAAAGTCTAGTCCCGTGCAGCCGCTAGAGAGTCCCCCTGCCATCGAGAAACCTGCCATGCCATTACTACCGATGCAGAAAACATCGCCTCTCAGGATGAGCAACCCGCTAGCAAATCTGCCGCCTACAGCAGAGTTGACTTCAAGCATGGAGAAAGCTAAGCCCTCTCCCAAGGAGAGCATCACAACTCCCAGTGGATCCCTAGTATCACCAAAGAGATATGGAAGCTGGAGCAATAAGCAGCCGGGAAGGGGAACACCAGATAAACGTGTGCCGACAACTCCCGACAGATCAACCAAAAGCTCACCTGGTGATTCGCCAAAAAGCCCAACAGGTGTCGCGACTGTCACCGATTTTCAAAGAGCATGTCCACCGCTGGCACAGAAAAGGAAGCCGTCAGACGATAAAAATGATTCGCCAGCTGTTCAGCATAGATCGCCAGTGACTGCGACATACATTACTCCAATGACTGCTGTCCTTCAGGCTAAGGTCCAATCAGACAATCGCAGTGTTGATCTGGTAGCCGGTAATAATGCTAGTGCAGTCAATGGGAACAACAAACAAAAAATCTCCCCAGAGGAGCGTAGAGAAGTGAACGATGTGCTAGCAGATTTTGCTCTCAGTGAAATAAGCATGAGCGAAGTCAGTGAAATGGATAGTGATAACTATGACTTTATCTCGGCACGACGACCGGCCGGTCAGCGGAGAGCTAACGTGGCCACTAATGCTGTTCCGCCAAACAATGCTCGCAATGGCATGGAGCGCGCAGTGTATCCCCTGTACAGGCAGCAGAGTGGCACCGATTCAGAGTCACAAGCAGGCACGCCAACTAACAAATCTGCGATGGCCGTACCAGCGTCTCCGACGAGTTCGTCAGCAACCAACTCAACGGGCAACAACAACAACAACAAGCACGTCGAGTCGATGCACAGGTTCCCGCACTCGCAGCAGCCACGCTACGCCTGCAGCGGAAAGCCAGCAGTCGACCAGGCCAAAATTGACGCCTCCCTCAAGGAGTCATTCGGCGCCGCGGCCGTGGACCGTTTCCGAGCATCCCTCGCTCAAAGAGTCGGAAACGACGGCCGCGGTTACGACCAGCAAAGACTCGGTGCTCTCAGTGACCTCGATCCGCATAGACTATCCGATCTCTCACTCCTCTCCGAGGCCACGGCGGCAACCGTTACCGACTTGCCGGAGTACGACGCGGAGTCGCAGGCCGACGACGGCACGTCGTCGATAGACGTGCAGGTCACCGACACCGAGTACATGGCCGACGACATCGACGACGACATCTCGCTCGACAACGAGACGTACAGCGACATGCACTCGTTCGGCGCCAGCGACATGCACAAGTACGACCGCGGCAACGAGGGCGATCTCGACGACTACAGCCTGTCGTCGCGGAGCTCTCGCTTCCTCGGCTCCAGCTCCCGTCGCAGCTTCGACTCGATTCCGTCGCAGTCGAACGAGTCCGAGTACGACAACTACCGGCCGGGAATGACGAGCGACGACGAGTACGTCTACGCCGAATCAATATCGGACATCGATCTGAACGTCGAAGAGTTATCGAAAGGCGGTCTCAACTTGCCAGGCTACGGGATGTCCCCGTACGGATTCCATCCGAGAGGGGGCTACCTGCAGCCGCTGTCGAGTCACGGCTCTCCGACTGTGAGCAGCCTACCCAGCTCCCACGCTGGTGGTGCCATCTCGCGCCAGAACCCTCCCATTGTGCGGCCAGCTCCTGCTGTGTCGCAGTCGTCGGCGAATAAACCCCAAAACACTGTGGTGTAGCATAGGCGCAGCGCAGAGAAATCCTATATGGCGGACTATAGATTTCGCTTACGGGACAACGAGGCTCATTCACGCTTGCAGACGGCTTATACGCGCGCGCCGTTATCGCGTATAAAGGGCTAGCGGATCAGCAAGGTAGAGTTTACGCGCTGCGTGGAATGTTTACAGTGAATGTGTTACTGCTCTTCCGTGTGAATAAGTGCACACGGTCAACGAATGGCGCTAGAAGTCAGCATTCGAGCGCACTGTGCAGCATCAGATGCGCGTAAATCGTATAAGAGCAAATAAAATTAGAAATATTCCATATAGGTGTGCGTTATATACACTTTTCGCTTAGGTATTTATTAGATACAATAATGTAACCCAAACCCAAGAGGATAGGGGGTCTGTCCCCCTATCCTCTTGGGTTTGGGTTACATTATTGTATCTAGTATTTATCAACAGAACATTGCTGCCAAAAGGTGAGGTCATCAGCATTTCGTAAGCTACCTAAATCTAATTACATCTAAACGATGTCATTATTCCGTAGAGACTCGTATATAACTATAACGACTATAGCAACTTAATTTGCATAGGTGTAATATTAGCACTTTGATCGCGAAGTGTTCCACTTTGGCCTTACTAAAAGCTGTGCACATAGTGCCAACTCTAAAATATACCACCAAAGAGCTTTTTATTTATATGAACGTATAAATTATTAGGTGTTTTTATATGTGTGCAAACATGTATGGATAACAACGCGTCATGTTATACTCATCGCGTTGTCAGTATAGCGTGAGGATGTAGAGAAACGAGCCGCGTTTCATACGTACGATTAAACGTAATAATCAAAATAATATAATCGAAGTAATAAATCGATGCTCTGATCGATCCAGGTAATTGCTATTCATACGCATACGGCTTGGTGTACAATTGGTATGATGACGTGAAGGTCTGTGAGCAAAACGATTCCCAATTTCTCTGTGAAATATTATTTTATGCAAGTATATAACTGATCAATTACCGAATAATCTCACGCTATACGGACGTCCGTAGATATGGAAGATTATGTTCTCTAACCGCTGTCAGTTTTTTTAGTTGAAGCAGAGGAAAATAGAAGAAAAACTTCCTGACGGAAACCAATTAAATTTATAAAGATTTTTTAGTCTCCCCGTCTTGCCATTTTACTCACAAGACGTCGCGCCTACTTCACTGCTGTCGATCTGTGCTGTGTTATTAGGTCCGGGAGACCGGCTTGACGTGATGCTGCCAAATTACACAATAAAATGACGTTGTTGGTTAACGGAAAATATGGTCTGCATTCGTGTTGAATTGTTGACCGCTAACGAGCCAGGCAACAACTATTCCTACAAATTGTCGTTTTATTTCATACAGATATGTGACTCTGACCGGCTACAAACAAAGGTATTCCGAGTAAATCTTTTTGGAATGGAAATAACGAAGCGAAATCGCAAAATATTTTTCCGAGACAATACCAATTCACTATCCAAAGCGTGCTTGATAACAAACACCCTTTTTAAAATGTTTTATTTGCTATATTTCAATTTTTTTTAAATTTGACACTTCGTAAAAGCGCTGCTCTGATGATGCCCCGAGATAAAAACAAATACATTTATATTTCCACCACATTTTAATTGATGCAATCTTGACATAAATAATATATGATATGCTTGACATTTTTAGCTCGCGTATATAACCAGTAAGACAACCAGTGTTACACGCATATCCATGCATGAGTTGACCTAAATAACTGTGTAAACAATACAGATTATTTATTGTACATAACTGTTTGCCACCACAAGCGTATTGTAACGCTATACATATACTACGCATAAACAAACAAATGAAACACGCGATCATACTCGGCAAAAACATACCACGGTTAATTAAGACAAGCTATCAAATTATTCTGCTGTCTTAAACTCATACAAAATCGCAGTTCACCGTTTAACAATTGCCACTTGAAAAATAATTTATGGATTTTTATAACAACTTCAACACACAATAATTCGCCGGACATATTTCGACTTATATATAAATCATATGCGCATTTAATCACATACACATATAAGCTAGATTACTATCACATATAAGACACACAAGTTCCTTTCGCATGAGCTTACAAGCTAATAAAACACAAATAACAGAGAAAGATTAAGGGTTGCGACCGAGCGACCGAGCGACCAAGTCAGGGAGGGTGTGTGAAAAGAGAGCATCGTATACCGCGTGCGTGCCTGTGTGTGCGTGCGTGCGTGCGTGCGTGCGTCAGAGAGAGAGAGAGAGCCGCATACACAATGCCAGGAGTGAATAAAAACACACTTCTTTGCATGCACTCCTGACTATATGACCCCGAGATGACAAGAAGAGCAACAAGGATTCCCTCGGGTGTTTGTATTAACAGTGAGTCACATAACATATATTATACAATCTAATAGGTTATATAATTTATATTATGTCAGCCCTGGTAACATCATTACGTTGTCCGGCGTAATTAATAAACATGACTTGTTTTTAATAGATACAAGATCAGAGATCCGGGTTGAAGTCCACGCGTTCTCGAACCGCCAACCCTCCACGTACCATGTACAGTAACAAGCCCTTACACGCGCAATCACAAACATTGCTAATACGCCCTATCACAGTGAGCAGCACAGAACTGAGTTAAGACTGAATTGAATATAGACTGAAGCACTGAATGTAAATGGCGTTTTGTAGTGGCAGGCACACTCGCGATTACAAGAATATATAGAACGATCTCCACAGAACACCAATGACAAACAATATATCTATTTCTACCTATTAAACAATACTAAGCAATCGCATGGAATTACACAATAGGAGTTATATAATCAATATTTTTATCCAACGGATAATGTAAAATGAATATTAATCAAAGATAACAGCACAATATAGCCCAGTATTATTAACTAATGCACTAATCTGATCTGTGGGGATCCACGTTATTTATTTTATGCTTTTGTAAATACTAGTCCCTCTATCACATAACACAACTCTTAGGACATACGCTCATATATAGTGTTATCACCTAGTATTACCCCGTACACACTGCAAATCTGATTCTAAATCTAAATAGTAACAAGTCACATGTGAAACCCAAGGCCAAGTCAATGAAGTGCTATCACCTAGTAGTAACCCGTACATACTGCAAATCGTATTCTACATCTAACTAGTAACTTAGTCACAAGCGAATCGCAGAGCAAGGTGTCATCGCGGATCGCTGAATACAGGTACCTCACACACTACCTGTAGTTTGCATTGCGAAAAACTGTAACTTAAAAATACGCCAGGCCTGGTATAAAACATGGATATAACATTGGATTAACATACGGCATACGTGATAGCTACAAAAACTTCACAAGAAATGTTTTCCTGCGGTTCAAGCGATTCAAAATACTTAGTCTTAAGAACCAATTATATTTCCCATTTTTTCATTATGCTTGCTTACTAAAATACACGGAATCAGCCATCGTCTGCACGTAAATTCTGTTTGTAAGCTAACCGAAAGTGGTGAACGCGCTTCACCCAGATTATTTTGTAGGAGATTCTGCTCTTCGCCATACCTGACTGCCGAGACAGTACAACCCACGATGACAATACAGCACATCTTACATTTATATTAGAAATGAGATATGAGAAGGCAAAGATGGCATCTTACGTGCATGTACGCGCATGCGAGCGCGTGTGCATGCATGCATGCGTGCAGTGATATATATGAGAAGAAAGTGTCTTGCTTACAAACACACAAAAAGCCATGGCGGCTTGCCAGGACTTGAACTCGGACCAGCCGTGTTCAAGCATGTAATGTTACCAGCTGGCTATCCGACCCTATACCAATGATAAGAGTTGACAGACGGAGGTAAAGTGACAAATAAAGTAGCTTGACCTAGGACGTCATCCTACTTGATGATATGCTTCATGTTGACAAAGTAAATTGTCAATGTGAACGATTCACAACAACGTACACAGCGTGTTTGTACATGTATGAATTGCAAAATACCCACCGTGCATGAAGTGAAATATAAAATATTCGTTAAATATATTCGCTATAATTGTCACAATCAAACTATCGCTATAAACGTATATCACATAATCAATAGATCAAAATTAATCTTAATGTACCATCGTGTGCCACGCTGGTCATCACATAGAGGCCATGACACTATAGTCATTCGACCAAGCGATTGGAATAGACCATTTTATCTAAACATTTCCCCAAAACGTTCACATTTTTTTGTCGAGTTATTTCCGGCTGGCGAAGCATACATAATGTTTCACAATCGGATTGGTACTTAGAACCACGCAACTTTGTTTCACACGTATCATGTAATGATTTAATTGTTCTACCTATACATGTACGAACGATTTTTAAAGTGATGGACGGATCCGACTCGTCGAAATTTTCAACCATTAAACAAAGAGGACAGGGTCTCAGTAAAATGTCTGTAAGAAAGATACTCAAAACTATAACTAAGCAGGACTTAACAGCTCACTGCAAAAGGAACGTGCTGTTGTTAATGTTGTAAGTTGCCGATTCATCTACAATACGTCAACTCCAACTACGACATGCATGCACGCGCGCACGTACGCACGTACGCACGCACGCACGCACGCACGCACGTACGCCCGCATATAACGCAGACATACCCACTGTTCGTAGTATTCACGAACCATTACTTCATAACAGTTGAACCAACAATACAAGAAAAATAGAACAATAACATGAAAAGAAAGCGTTAGCCGCATCTACACAAAAGACTTACGAATATTTTAAAAATCCACGCTTGAGATATACATGTTTTTTTTTTGGTTTTGGTTTACAGTTCGCACATTTTTCTTAGCTAGCCTTGCCCCCACGCAATAAAAGTTAATCAGGGAATGTTCACTAGGGCACCATCTAAAACCACCCGTAGCAGAGGCCTATTATTACATCAAAGATAAAAAGTCGTTTGTTATAAGTTAGGGCTACCTATAACTAGCGCTACAATGAGGGCGATATTTTTGATAATAGGATTTGTTAAATAATCCGTGTGCTGTCCCACTTCTGGATAGTAGTTACAAAATTACCAGTTTTTTTTCTAATAACCCATGCTTGAAAAACATGGTGGACGTGGGTTTTTGCATCGCACAGATGCATGACATGGGGAATTTTTCTCGTATAAATGTGGTCATTAACATCGTTACAGAAAATCATCATCAATGAATCTGCAACTACATGCATCTTCATTTTTTTAAATCTAGCAGTCCCTCCCACAGACATCGGAATGATTTTAGATCCCCATAAAGCCATAGGTTGATTATTACACAGAGAGGATGGTTATAAGAGGCTAGCTTATACTATACAATAGAGGCTACAATACAGTATACAGTATAGTAATATTGTATTTGGTTTAGGAGAAAGATGGCTTTCGGACTGCTGGCGAATCCGCTGCTCTTATGCACAGTGTACTTGGATGACAGCTATTCTGTTGTCAAGTAGATACTTGCAAATATACATGCATTATAGTGACTATGGAATTCTGATGCAATGCATGGTGAAGCCCTATATGCCATCATGCCAATCATTGTGACTTGTGACCTTCTTTCTCGTCATCCTCCTCCTCCGCGGGACAATTCCATTTAATCATTGTATTAAATGGTTGGTCCCATAGCTTCGTGGATATTCCAAAACCTGAAAAGAGAATTGAATGAGACATGAATAGCACATTCAATAACTAAATATTACAGGCATATAAGCCAGAAATCGTCGCGAAACGTACAGACTGCATTTTTCCTTTAAAGATTTTCATAGAGGCATGCTTCAAATGCCTCTCTCCGAAAAACGGGATAGTATAACATGTGTGATCAACGTGACATTTTTTTAGAGAAAATTGGCACATGCCATAATGCAAACAGAGACACCTCGAAGTTCCCCACTCTAAATTTCGTTTGACACCTTTATTGCTGCTCTCTTCGTTGGCTATGTACAGAAATTATTTTGAATTTTGGTATTTAGTCAGAAGGCCTACTGGAGAAAATCAATGAAGTAGACATAGTTTGCTACACTGACGGGTCGGCGGATGAAGGTACGAAAAACGGTGGTGTTTGGTGCCATAATCAACATACCAGGTGAAGAAAAAATAATCATCAAAATACCATGTGGAATCATATGCTCATCACATCGGGCAGAGATGATAGCCATAGAAAAGACCCTGATGACTGTATGGGAAAACCTGGACTACGAAATTGAACTGGACCGGGTGCTATGGATAATTACAGACTCTCAATCGTCCATTAAAGCCCTCGAACAGGGCCCTGGAAACCAGTTCAGTAACATCGGTAGCAAGATCTGGGAACACATCAACCAGATCTCCCAGCACATCATAAAGATAGTGTTCCAGTAGATACCTGGCCACAAAGGAATAGAAGGTAACGAAGAGGCAGATAACGCAGCAGGGGAAGCCACCACCCTACCCCAAGAAGCGGTCCTGCTCGACTTCCAGACTGCCAAAGCCCACATCAAACGACAACTCCATGAAGGGTGGATATTAGATCTCAAACAGGAGGACCTCTTCTTCAATAAGGTCACCACAGCAAGACCCAAAGATATCCCTAAAACGATGGCGAATCAGACAAGGTTCTCGTCTATCAGCTACGAACTGGAAAGTCACCCCTGTCTGCCCATTGCTTAGCCAGATACAAATCCCTACCTGACGATATGGGGAAGTGTCTGGCGAGGTGTGATGAAAAAGAGACAGTGAAACACCTACTATGCTGTCCGATATACGGAAAACAACGAAATGAAGTGTGTAGCTCAAAGGACATCTTAGAGCTTCTCAATGAAGACCCCGCCAAAGTGCTAAAGTTCCTTGAGAGGATAGGTCGCCTGGCTGCACCTGAACTGTGACGCTCCGCATCACAGCCACTGGGAGAGCAGACTACAGGGGCCGGTTTCACGAAGCGTAATCAAGTCCTTAATCATGATTAACTCACTAATCATGATTAACTTCTCGTACTTAAATTGAAGTGAATGTTTCACAATGCGTAATTAACTTTAATCATGATTAAGTTAATCACAATATTTAATTCTACTCAGGAGCATGATTAAATCCACTAATCATGATTAGTTGCTATAGTACTATAGTAGTAGTATGTAGGTAGTACTAGTATATTAAGGAGGCTGCAGATTTTACAATTGGAAATTTTACTTCAATTTTTTCCCAAGAAAATTGAAAATTATCTAAGATTAGCTGTACTAATTTAGTCATTATAAATGCAAATTAATTCCTTTCATGTACAGAATTTGCAGGTACTTTTGGTGTTGTCCGCCATGTTGAATACGGTGTAATTCATGTTTAAGTCGGCTAATTTTGTGATTAGTTAAATATGTACTTAAATCGCTTCGTGAAACAGATTTTTAAGTATGATTAACTAATCATATTTACTGGAGGTTAAGTATGATTAACTATCATATTTACTGGAGGTTAAGTATGATTAACTAATCATAATTACTGGAGGTTAAGTATGATTAGTGATTTAATCATAATTAAAGTTAATCACGCGTCGTGAAACCGGCGAGAGAGAGAGAGAGAGAGAGAGAGAGAGAGAGAGAGAGAGAGAGAGAGAGGGAGAGAGAGAGAGAGAGAGAGAGCGAGAGAGAGAGAGAGAGAGAGAAGAAGCAGATGAATGAACCGTTTCCATTTTCCACAATATAGCTACACAATGCAAAATATTTACATGACCTAATAAATGCCTATGATAGAAAGCACGTTAATTATAGAGAGTATATATATATACAGGCCCGTAGCCAGGGGGGTTCGGGGGGGTTAGCACGAACCCCCCCCCCCAACCCCCGAGCAAAAAAAAACCAGAATTTCACCTCAGGTATGCACCAGATCGCTCCATTTTAGTGTAATAATGGCAAAATCTCCATCGCACACCCTCCCCCTTCTCAGTCGCCATGCTCCCTCGCTCGGTCGCTTCGCGCCCTCACAAATTGCCAACATTTAAAAACGAACCCCCCCCCCCATATAAAGCTGGCTACGGGCCTGTATATATATATACTTACCAATGAATAATATCAAGAGCAGATAAAGAAGGCCTTCTTTATCTGCTCTTGATAATATGCATGTAGAATAATGCATAGTGCCGCGTAATCATTAAGAAACTAATGTCATAAACTATTCATGTAAGGGCCTAACGACTCTTGATGTATGATCTTAAAATCTTAAAACCTAGACCTTGTCTTTTATCTTTTTACTGACTCAGCTATTAATTTAGGATGCATGTAATGGCAGTAATGTATATATATGAGCCTGAGGGTGAGAAATCAGAGGATCTGTATCACTTTATCTTTTACCTTTTATCTTTTTACTGACTCAGCTATTAATTTAGGATGCATGCAATGGCAGTAATGTATATATGAGCCTGAGGGTGAGAAATCACGAGAACTGTAAACATTCTGTACGTTACGCAGCCTCTCCCGAGGTTAAACTTTTGAATTTTGTTATACACATTTTAGATCATTACAGGAGCTAATTACAAAAGCACAATAATATTTATACCTGACCATTATTTAAACTCGCGCACACATAAATCTAACTGAGACTAAATAGTCATAATACGAGATATTGAGCTCCATCTTCTCCTAAATTATTTAAAAAGAAACGCCCTTGGTCTGTATCCTGCATCTGAAATGTTTCGTGGACGCGCACGTCCTGACAACATCAACGTTAATATTGTAAACAATCAATCAACGGTTTATAAAAAAACATTCCAAAAGAAATATTTCTAGCGAATATGGAACCGAGAAGTTTTGCACGTGGTATAACTTACACCAAATATAACTGAAAACACGTAGTAAACCCATAGTAAGACAGTCAGATCATGTTCCTGCGTAGAACTATTTGACATTTACATCCGACACGCAACGATTGCGCTTACACAAACCAGTAGTTCAGTAAACGTTGATAGCAGTGGCTGTAACATTACACTTTATACAGTACACTGCAGGGTGCCTATAGCGACAGTACCGATCTACCCAACAGGCAGTTATGGAACGGTTATTACCAGGTAATTGTTGTTTTAGTAGGTGCAAAGTTGCATAATGTCAGCGCGTGTACATATTGACACACGTACTCTGATAGAGGCTGAAATCACTCACCTTGCTCTGACAACACTATAGCATCAGGAGTGTCATAATATAGATTATGTCTATACTAGTCTTTAGTTTCTTAGTTTTTTCATACAGTCTTTATTTTATATTTCTTTGTCTATATATTATGACACTGCTGATAGTATTACAGCGAGGAGATGCAGTCTGTAGAGCCACAGGAGACTGAGAATATTTAATATTAATATGATTGAGTAGCTAACTCAAGCTAATAATAACAATAATAATAATAACAATAATAATAATATTGAAGATGGCGATTACGAAGGTGATAACGACGTTGACAACAGTAACGACAGTGACGATTATTTGCTGGTATTGTATACTCAGCTCAGTACCAGTCTGGCTACGTTATTAGTAAATTATTCAGTTTCATTCAAATATTCAACAAGACCTTTGTTACCAGTAAATGGGGGCTATACAGCGAATGAATTGGGAACTACGCATCCACATCCGCGCATGTCGCCAACGTGTGTAAATAAATACATACGAATGTGACCGCGTGCGTTTTATTCATATTTAATAATGGTGCATGCGGCCTAGGAATTCTCTATGCTAACTTGAATAGTTTTATTGCCGAGTAAACGAACTGTATACGCCAGGTGCTACATCCATAATATAGAGACACTATACAGAATCGACATAGACACACTATTATAGTCTAGCTCGTATATTATCTCTATGGCTACATCATATCTGCGCACGCTTCTTGTGTGTTCAGCCAATTATATGGCGTTGTACATAGGAGTGGCTTGCGCCAACGCCCTAGTGACCTTTAGACCTAGCAGTCAACTTTAGAGAGCCAGGAGACAGTGAAGTGCGTATAGTGACGTTGTAGTGACGTAGTGATGATGATGGCCGTAGTGGTAATGGCGCCCTGAGCAATGAACACCCCTCGCAGTCCCCGGCCGTAGTTAAACTTAATTGCCATTTTTAAAGCGCATAGCTGACCCTGTTTACGTCCAGAATTAATCTGGCCCTGGTCATTTGTCTTAACCCCTGACAGAAAATATGCATTGACCTCTGTACTTCGGAGAGACGAAATTAGCTTGACCAAAACGATTAGAGCCCTATCAAACTGCATGAATCACCGTTAGTCACCAAAGAAACGCATCTGAGCGTGTATAAAAATAATGCAGCTATGATAAAAAAGCCAGCAAAGCCACGAGATCTGTCGAGTAGAGTACAGTCCAGTGGTATCAATTAGTTCGTTTATAGAACCAAGTAGTTTCTCCCCTGGGCAGTTGCATAAGTAGACGTTACTCAAGGTGACAACGCTCAAGTTTTGAAAGTATAGTGAAAGAGTGGACAGAGTATCGAAGACCCACCAACGGCGACCGCAACAACTCTCGCGAAAAATGTAAGAAACACTCATTCAGAGAAATCGTCCTGCTATGTATACTCTCCCAACAAAAACTTGAAATAACCATAACACCGATCAAATGTTTTGTACTATGTTAAACCACGATATAACGCGCACCGTTAAACCAATTAACACTTACTAGATTTAATGTTTTACGTCACCGTTTAAGGGAGGATTCACCTGTAATTATACGTATACCCAGACCTGCTAATTAGCTAGCCGTTGTTCATTTACATTTCACACCCTACCCCTAAATAGACGCACGCACACACGTACGCATATAACTATAACACGCACGCACATATACACATCCACACACACCTACACAAGCACGCACGCACACACACACGCACACGCACGCACACACGCACGCGCGCGCACACACACGCATGCGCGCGCGCACACACACACTTGGATGTGGATAGACATTTGGCATAAACACTACCCGTAAAGATTCACAGAGCATTTCATGTTTATAGTTGAAATTTTATACATAACCTTTGATATAGAGCAGTAAAATTAGATTTATACGATTGGTACTTATAAAGTCGTGCACTACCCAAGCAAACACGGAACATTCTCGTAACATTCGCTGGAGGTTCTACCCAGCTAACAAAGTTATGTTCCTTGAATGTTATGGGAATGTTTCTTTTAGGTTAGCAGAACATTATTCAGTAACGTTCTAATAACGTGTTTTAGGAAAGTTTTCCTGACATTCTGAGAACGTTTTTACAAACATTACGTATGCGCTGCAGTCTTACCTTAATGTCTCCAGTACGGCAGTACCATCACACACACACACACACAAACAAGTACAAACAGTATAACTATCCCTATCACTAACCTTAACACAAATTATAAAGCGACTCGAGTCGTATATGATAGCGTCTAAACACAGATAAATTAATCTATGGTGTATATAATCTTTGGCTTTCAATAACAAACTGAACTGAACTGTTTCTGAACTGACAATCAATCCCAAACAACTAGTGTAGGCTAGCTAATTAATTAATTAATTAATTAATATAGATTCACAGAGCATTTCATGTTTATAGTTGAAATTTTATACATAACGTTTGATATAGAGCAGTAAAATGAGATTTATACGATTGGTACTTATAAGGTCGTGCACTACATTTCCTGATAGGTAACATAACTGCATATAAAACATCACACTGCCAAAACGAAATTTCGTGTGTATGTGGGTGCGAACGTAGATTTATTGCTTTTGAACATTTTATTTTATAAAACGCAGTGGCTACGCGTCCGGTCATCCATTACAAAGTACAGCACAGATTCCCAAATCCACGTCACGATTAGGCCACGCCCCCTTTCAAATCCTTGATTTTACTGGATTTACTATGGCTTCAAGTTTCAAAAGCCACAATGGCATTGGTGGTAATAACATCAAGAGCTAATAATATCTTTTAATACCTAATAATAATAATTATTAGCTCTTGATAACATGCATATTTAATGATTACAATAAAATGTATAAAATTTGCATATAATTAGTAGCTAGCGAGTGAGCTGATCTGCTTGTAGTGCATGTTGATCAACTGCATTGAAGCTTCAATAGTTGTCAACATTGCCCGATATATATAGCGTATCTGTGCACAGCGCCCCACATAACAGCTAGGGCTACTACATTACAGCCTGCCACGTATACAGTCGACAGTTAACAGCTGTTACAACCTACACACGTCATAAGAACCTCATTGAGGACTACCGTAATGCTAGTTACTCCATTCACGAGGAATATAAAGGACGCGCATAAACACATATGATTTCTCCCGTCTGGGTACCGCGTTATGTCCCATCCCCCGCAACATATCAAGAGCGGATAATACCTCATATGTATTATTAGCTCTTGAACATATCACACATACAGTATCACCCAGTGTCAGTTATCAATGAATACTGGCTCGAAACGTCCCCGTGGCTGAGCACACAAGGTTAATTGATTATCAATGTAGAGTCAGTCTAGTATCAACGTACTATTATAATAACACGAGTATGTCGCAGGTGTTATATATCCATTATATACTCCTGATAAAGGATACACTCTATCAAGAGCGTATTACCTTAAAAAGTACCTTTAAATTCTTAAATGTTACCTTCTTAATATGCTATTGACTATCTATATCCCACTATAAGCATCCTTCCAGTGTTTCTTACCTCTGTTCTGCTGAGCAAAGTGATGCTGCACATGGTGCTGTTTCAGGCGGGCGAAATAACTACCGTTACTTGGCACTCCGTGGTGGAGGTAGTAATGTGTCAAGTCGTAGCACACGTACCTGCAAAACACATTTGCAACTCAGTGCAAGACAACTCTCGTAAGGTGGATTGCTTCTTTGTCGCAAACAGGTATAAAACAGCACACGGCTGAGGAAAATTTGCTCAAGTCATGACGAAACGTTTGTTTTCTGCCCCCCCCCCCCGAACACGTATATAGGTATACTGCAGGCATTTCAATGCATGTCGTCTCGCATGGCGATTGTCAGCGCTCGACTGGACCGGTGTCACCATGAGTACTTTTTGGCAGCACGCCATTTGGCATAATGCAAGCAAAGTGATCAACTTTTGGATTTCTAAGACTTGTCAAAGGTTTCGCTATTTTCTAGCAATCACAACCAGGAATGTTTTTTACTTCATGTTATAAAATACAACTAAAAACTGCGACATATAGGTACACACATCTTTGCATATGACTGAGTTAATGACATGGCACAAGCGTATAGTAAGAAAACTCAATATGAGAGATGTTTAATTAGGGTCTTGCAATAGGCCATTACCATCACTATATATTTTACATGAGGTGAAGCCTATTGATAACCTGTTAATCGTAACTCAATGACCGTCACAGTGACAATTGCATTTACACAGCGAGCACCTCACTTAGCACCGATAGCTATCACACTATATTGACTGTTGATAAGAAAGTAACCAATATTGGGGACTCACTTCTAGACAACATGCCCCATATATTTAGAGAGGCACATAACTTGCCAAGTTAATACCTACCCAAACAGCGTACCGGATGTGTAACAGCTCGCTACTGCATCAGGTAGCAAAGAGCAGAGACTGAAGTATAAGACGATTACAAATAGAGACGCCGCAACAGGTGGGAACACCAACCTTCCTGGGTCAAATGGTACCTGCATAAAACGATGAGCAATATCGAAATGAGCGTGTGAATATGCACCTGCGATCTAGAACACAACGTTGTACAAGCCAACGTTGCTGAAGAAACCATACATTATTGATTTATTACGGGTACATATTGATTATCAAATAACTACAATAAAATATTGAAATGTACTAATCTATATCAAAACCACACACATGGATATGGTTGAAGAAGACGCTCGCCCCCCACAAGGATGGGCGAAAGTATAGCTTCGTTTTTGAAGACACGCAATGGAGTGGTAAAATGAGAACTATACGCACCCTTCACTTTACAATTAACATACATTTCACAGTGCTGATAATAAGTGGGTCTGCTTCTCCTAACAATATCAGTACGTATATATATACACACGTTAGTAACTGTGACATGATATTTTGTAAATATTTCATATGCCCCATCATAATATACGCGTCAGTAATGATCCAGCCCTAAATGATGCATGTTATACGTCATGGACACAAGAACACAAAAACACAAGAACAAGATCGATTAATCTCATGATAATTGAGACTTGTATGAGGCTAACATATTTAAGAAAAACACTGCCAATAGCATGGCGAAATGATTCAACAAACCCATGTCTACACAGAAACAATCACTGACAGAGTAATATTATTTCCAGCATATCGCATAAAATAACTTATATATCACCTGTAGATCTTGTACTACATCTACTTATATTAGATGTGATATTAGAATGTGACCTACTTATTATACCCAGCATTCCATGGCACTAAACGAACCTACTGCATCTCACGTCAAAATTAGGTGCATAACAATGGTTAGGTTGGTTATTTAAGCAACCATTTTAATTTTCAGTAATTACCTTGTGATGTTGACCATGCAGAACGAAATGCATTGAAATCCAGAACGGAGATTCTGACGGTGGTTCTGCGTGGAACACAAAGCGATGGAGACAGTATTCTATCAAGCTCCAGCCTATACAGCCAAGGACAAACACGCCTACACATGATGCTAGAACTGCAATAAAAAAAACAGAAAGAAAAGACACTGTTAGAGTGACACACATAGAAAACTAATAATTAATCTCGAGTACAGACGTTTTGTGTGTATAACTTTTGGTTGCTATTTTGGCGAGTATGTTAAATGGAGGAGAATGGAAATTGATTCTCATTAAGATATGAATCACATCACTAGCTGTTTAACACTAATAAGAACGCTGCTGTTGGCACAGCGCTCCGTAAAGGGCCGGACACACCAGGCGATGCCATCGGCCGATGGCATCGGCGTGAAAATCGCCTGGTGTGTCCACTCAATCGCCGCCGATGGCATCGCACAGATCAAAACGTTTGATATTATCGCCTGATGGCATCGGCCGATGGCATCGCGCCCAATGCCATCGCTGGTGTGTCCGCGCGCACCGCGATACATTGCCCGATTTTACAATTCATCAGCCAATCCAGAGTTCATCAGCCAAGCGCACTGCCGCCCGCAAGAATCGTGCGATGCCATCGCCCGATGGCATCGGCGATGAACATCGCCCGATGCAATCGCCTGGTGTGTCCACGACTGCGCGATGCCATCGGGCGATGGCATCGCCTGGTGTGTCCGGCCCTTAAAGCATCAACATACATTTTCAGTAATATAACATAGTATAACATAGTAACAGTGACAGTATACTATAGTAATAGTAATGTTAATTTAATAATAATAATTTAAAGTAATTTTAAGTAAAGTAATTTAAGTAATAATAATTTAAGTAAAATTAATAGTTACTAAGTAATAATAATAGTAATAGTAATAGTAATATTAATAGTAAAATAGTAACAATAATATAACATAATATAACATAGTAACAATGACCATTCCATCGCATATATATAGCATCCCACAATGCACGCTCGTTCGAGGTACTGTCATACCTAGCACCTAGCTGTGCGAAGTTGCCATACCCATAGCACCACAGCACGAAGTCACACGGAAATGGTACATTATATCGCTAGAGTAAATAGATAAATCGCTAAAGCAATAAGAAGAGGTAAACATACGTGCGAGCTAAACCCTAAATCCTCCCACCCCAGCAAATTTCGTTGCGAGACGATGACGAGAGAAATAATAAATACGACACACACCGCCACAAGTAATGTCTAAACAACAATTCAACAAAGATTGATATATTCGACCCCGTCCTGACACGCAGTGCCCACCCAATCCATTCATAATTTTCAGGAAATACATGCACTACGTTCGTGACAGTGACAGTTCATAGTTGAATAGGAAGGACCGAACACGCATATTAATTTCTAAATGTCTCCGTGACACAGTCAATATCTTATAACAAGCCTATATGATATCGACATATCGATAGATGGCATGTGGTTACTGGTAGCTGGCCTTTACAGCTCCACGAGGTCAGGGACAATAGGTGTGTGAACAAAGATAAACCGTCAGTTCAATTAATTGGGAAAAGGTATTTTTAACCTTTGTGTTACACAGATCACGAGAGTCTGCATGGTCAAGGCTATTCAATTTCAGACCTAGCTGTATCGAGGTACATTGCTGTTTTTTATTCGTATTTTAAAAATCACAGCATTTTGCCATCTAATACAGGTACGACATTTATTATATCTACATGAATTGGATTCATATTTACTAAATATGTGTTCCTGTTAAATATATTTACAATACGCTGCAAATTGCCAGCATATAGGCTCGAGCTGCAGCGCCCGCAGCAATAGGTATTGGAATAGCAACGGGCGCGCTGGTAAGAACAACATTTTCCTCGAGCTATAACATGTCATTTTCAGTTTAATTCGTCAAATGACAATATAATATCCGTAACGGACTGGACTATAGACTGAACTGAAATGTTGTTTTAAGGATGGCCACGATATTTCAGTAATATGAACACTAATGGACTCGAACTCTTTTTTTTAGATATCCAAACAACATTGATTAGCATCAATAATGTATGTATCACACGGCGTTTATCGGTGTTCAGTCTAACAGCCCGCGTAAAACATCATTCCACTGACTATACGTATCCCGAGTGTACCGTTTTATAGTCTACACTTATAGTCAACATTCGATAGTTCAGTTGAAATAGTACGGGATCCTGATCTACCCTACTCACACCACACCGCCCAATAAAAAATAACACTGAAATGCACACGCTAGTTTTGATATATAGGCGAGTATATAGGTAGCTGTACGAGCTGTATGCAGCTGCTGTATCGCAGCGCGCGCTGCGCGCGTCGTAACACAACATCACCAACTGGCATCTGTGACGTGTAGTAAGCAAACATGTACGATTCCCTCTGCTGACACTTCAGCTAGATAATAGTGTACATTAATTAATACAGGGATAGTACGACCAGATAATTTATGGCGTCTACCTTCATAGTGCTAAAAATTTGCATAATAACTGGAAGCGTGCATACTGCGATTATGATCAGACGAGCGTTGCAGTCTGAACGAAGTTGTTCACATAAAATGCCACAATTAAACACAGCGCAGCAGCAGCAGCACACAACAACAAACAACACAACAACAAACAACAACAACAACAACAACGAACACAACACACCAAACACAACAACCAACAACAACATCACACAACAACCACAACAGACAGCAGCGCAAAACAAAAACAACATGCAACAACAGCGCAGCAACAGCAGCAGCAGCAGCAACAACAACACAGCCAACTATAATAATATAATAACAACAACAACAAACAACAACAACAACCAACACAACAACAATCCATAATACTGATATACGCCATATTTTTTCGCGGATAGATATTTTCGCGACTTCAGACTTCGGAACCGCCATTTCGCGAGTGCGTTAATTCGCGGTCGTGAATTATGAATTATTTCAATATTATTCAGTTATGGAACTATTCGCGTGTTGGTATTTTCGCGTCGAGGACGCGTTCGCGAATTCGCGAAAATTAAACCACGCGAAATATACAGACGTATACAGTACTGCGAAACCACCGAAATTGAAATCAAGTTAATAGAAAAATCACAACCAAATGTAAGGAAGGGGTCACTGCAAAGCAGGCCAACTTTCATATACAAAGCATATTGACCGGTACAGCTTGTATGTTACCACTGCTACTACAAACACAGACTTAAAATAAATATAAGGTCACACATCCTGCGTATCCTTATTTTCGGACTATAGCAAACAAACATACATTCACGGCCACACGCACTCGCCATCGCGCACTCACACGCACCGCACGCCACGCACGCCGACGCACGCACGCCGCGACATATGCCACGCAACACGCAACACGCGCACCATACATACCCACACCACCACCACCACACTACACACCATGCACACAACACATACACACACACAACAAGCACGGCACACACACAACACACACACACACACACACACACACAAACACACACACACACACAAACACGCACGCACGCCGCTCCGCACCGCTGGCACGCACGCACGGCACGCACGCACGCACGCACGCGACGCACACACACACACACACACACACACACACTCAACACACTCACACACACAGCATTAATATATATGCAGTGTTTGCCGCCATCTGCGCTCTAATGCACAATGGCCATTTCACCATGTATCTACTGCTTGCATTGATGTATACTAGACCAGTCAATCTGGACAGTCGCAGTATTTATGACTTGGAATATTGATGTTTTATCTGGGACCATTGTAGGCATGACATTGCAATGTAGCACTCCTTCTTCATTGCCATAAACGCAACAAGGCAGCGGGTATAACAAACACTCACTGTGAGAATCACGAGAATCCTGTATCATAGAGATACAGAACACATTCCTTTGAAATTTAGTCTCACCACTCTAGGTTTAATCTCGGAAAAACTGGGTGGGGAGGGGGGTACAACCCTAAACAAGTACGAGCCGGAGAATCTACATGTGCTCGATTTTTCGTGGTTTCCGCCGTCAGTACAGTTAAAGGACAATTGAAGTCAAATTTTATAACTTCTGTAACGTTTTTGATACATAGGAAATACATTCATACATGTATTCCATTTCAATCCGGCGCCATCAAGCCGGCAAATCAGTAAAAAACAACATACATATATTAATCTTGGTCATGTTGAACGTCACAGCCCCATGTTGAAACACGCCATTTATATGCGTAACACGCTACGTATATGTTATGCTAGGTGAAAGTATTTGTCTACAGCATTCACAACAAAACAGTGAGCTGTAAATTTACTTTATTCATGTAACAAGACATATTACCTGTGTGATATGCATTCACGGTATATGTAACATGTACTTGCATAGAGATGTTATGCTACATGTACAGATACATGTGATTGTCTGACGAGCTGATAAGCCGGTATCAGGTTACTCGCATTGACTCACCTGTCTAGCGTCGGAACTGGTCTAACAAATAACCCTTGAGTGCTTTCATTCTCATTAGGGTGAGTATTGCGACCAAAAACCGATTTGCAATATATTGCAATACGACAAACCGTATTGCCATATTTTCCAATACGTATTCTCGGAAGTGTTATACCATGCATAATATAGTAACATTGATGGTTTTAATATCATTATATATTGTATTATATGACATGATTTAATTTCTCATGTTTTTCTTGAGAAACAGAAGCACGCGCATGTTTTCCGCTGACAGTGCAGCCCTCTGGCCGTAACAATGTCACCCGCTGTACTGAATACCTCTCGGAAGGCACTGCCGTAGCTGGAATACACAATACCCCTGCCTGCACATAATTGGCTAATACTGGATACTGAAACTGAAACTGAAACTGAAACTGAAACTGAAACTGAAAACAGTGGTGGCCGCTTCAGCTTGGTATCGCGGCGCGCGGGCACTCAGGCGAGCATAGGCTATATATAGACTCCCTAGTTGCCGTGCTCTCTGCCCACTCTGCCGCGCAGTGCTCATGCAGTGGCCGCTTCACGTAATACTGTATGCGTCGTCAGGCATTGTGCTTTCGTAATATATACACGCCAGTGCATAATTTTCGAGCCCCATTAACAATATAGACATAAAGGAAAGTCGTAAGTAATTTGATTTCTGTTATACCACCGTATCCGTAAAATATCGTATCCGAAGTTGTATCGCGATATATCGAGTTTTCAAATATATTGCAATATACCGACTATACCGTATATCGTTAACCCTAATTCTCATGGCAGCAATATATATACCTTCAGTGCCGTACTCATTAATTCACAAACACTACAAGAAACCAGTATTGTCTACAGTCCTATCTAGGTACCGAAGCTTTCCATTCCGCCATGTTGTGACTGTTCTGATTCTTGAGAAGTTTGTGCCGACTCTTCGCGTTGCTTTTCAGACGATTCTCCTCAATTTCTTCTTGTGTATATTCAGGCTCAAACCTATATCCAACTGGTAAATCACTATAATATCATCATCATCTGAGTAATCACTAGAATCATTGAAATTATTGCTTTCTGTCTCCATCTTATACACCACACGCACTATGTTACAATTAATGGCGTGTTTCAACATGGGCTGTGACGTCACATGACCTAGATTAATATTCATGTGTTCTTACTAATTGGGGCCGGATTGAAATGAATACGTTATTGAATGTATTTCTATGTATAAAAACTTACAGAAGTTATAAAATTTGACTATCAATTGTCCTTTAAGGGTAACTGCATCGCTTTGCATAAGTGTGTTTGACGCGTTGGATGGATACTGATGAAATGACGCGACATCAGACAATGTACACCTTTTTTAACTTGGGCCTAAGCTTATATTTGGAGGAAGACTATTGTCGACAAGCAAGCATCACCAAGGACACAAACTGTTATATGTGTGCTATTGACATCATCTGACGTTGTGCTGGTGGCACGGTGAGGAAGTTCATAAACGAGTCGTTTGCCAACGCGTACGAGAAGCTCACATACATAAGCATGCAAAATGGAACACGGGTTTCCAATTTTGTGCATTCTCAGTGCGTTGATATTCTATAGCCGTGCAGTATTTTGTGTTGAAATTCCGTGTGATTTTATACCTCGCACATGCCAGGTGTACATATTGTAGTTTTCACTGATATAATATTGCATGGGTACTGTAGTGTTAACCACCCAAACCCCAGTACAGGCATAGCTTGATTTGTGTGTTTCGGGTTCATGTTACCATTCCTAAGAATGTAATTATTACGTGAGTCGATACAAGTTTTTACCTGTACAATAACTGAAGATTGTTAATTTATGATAAAAATATACAAAACAAAACTAACACTAACAGTGACTTGAGTTTATATTAGTGTCATGTTAGATCTACCTTACATATATTTAGTTAATAGTGAGAGAGAGTGTTTAATTAAACCAGGGAACATGTCAATTAATACATATTTGGTCAGTATATACACTTCCACATAATAAGCTATTTAGTAATAGGCTCTTATTTAATAACTAGGTAGTAATAGGTTGTAAATAATAGGCTATAATTTACAGATGTGCATATATATGTAAATAATATCATATGTGTGTGTATGCGTGTGTATGTACGATCATGCATGTAGAGGTATATGCACGTGTGCAGGCCCGTAGGCAGGTTTTTTTATGAGAGGGTGCAATCCAACGAGTATACGGACCTAACGAGGGCCGGAGGCGGCAGTCTCTAGGGGGTCCGGGGGCATGCCCCCCGAAAAACTTTGAAAATTAGGTTGTCTGAGACTGCATTTCGCACGTTTTGAAGGCAGTCTGATATGAAAACAGGCAGCCAAAAGCGAACCTCAAAACGTGGAAATTTCTCAAATTTTTGAACCTCAAAATGGGTTTTTTCCACAAAAAAGTGGACCTTTGCAGCCTGTGGGGGGGGGGGCACCCGTCGCACCCCCTTCCCTACGGGCCTGGTGTGTGCGTGCGTGTATGTGCACGTGTGCGCATTCATGTGTGAGTGTTGATGTCGGAGATTAACTTACATGTGTAACGTAGCAAAGCCGAATACCAAGCAGGTCCAGCACTGTCATGCAAAACGGTTGACATAAGGACTCCTCTGTACAGTAGATATATGGCAAGAGGTAACCACACAATAGGTACCACAAACCATGGCGTTTTAGAGAAAAACTCTATGAAGTCATAGCGAAAAAGGCGCAGTGGCCTGTCAACAGGTAGGTGCACCCATGTCTTGTACTGCTTGCCAAGTTGCCCGACTTGCCAGAACATAGGCTTGCTCCAGTCCACAAGGTTTTCCAGCTGCAATCAAAATTCATGCGATAAGTAAGTGAGGTAATTACGTAGTCAAGTGATTCAGCTTTACAAAACCGATCGATGTGAATAGCCCCCCTGTTTATCACCTGTATATTGTCCAATGCCTCCTAAAACATGCGCAAAACGTTTTAAGATTATAGAAAAATGTGGTCTTCTGAAAACTACCACTGAGGCACAAAATTACATATATGCCCGGGCCAGAGACGAATAGGTATGCACACTCATTGTATGATTAAGTGAAATTATTTCCACCCAGAAAGATACCAGATTGCTACCCTTGTTACCTTATATGCTACCCTTAGTGCAGCAAAACAACAATAAACTGTATTACAGTATGCAGTATGCATTTACAAATACTGCAATGCATTCTAATCACTGAATCAATGATACTATTTTAAAAATTCAAAACAAAACTTATATGTACCATATGTATAAATGCTCATGCAATCTTAGATAAGATGCACCCAAAAATTGTCTGGTTTCAGTAACCTGTGTCAGATGATTTGAGAGAGTAGGTGGGCAGGCAAAATAATTTCCCTGATACTTTTTAATAGACAGACGCAAAACGGAAAAATACGCAAAATAAGTCCAACTTTATTTATTATAATTCCCATGAGTGCACTTATAAGTATTAGATATAAAGTTTTGAGAAATATGAATAAATAATAAAACAGAAGAAATACCAGCAGGTAACAGTAACCACACGGTCGGCATTATTACTGTAATTCTATCTATATACGATGTGCTGACGTATGCATATATGCCAGAAAATTATCAATACGATGCACTTGCAAACACTGCTTGATGCATATAGTGCTCAACCAACGGTCAGAAGCTGAGAGACCGTAGTACTGCTGTATCACTAAACATGAATTACCCTTACTTTGAACATTGTACCTGCTACATATGCCACATCAGAATAACATTACCATGGTTGCAAATAAAGCTGCAGTGTCCGCAGCAGCAGCAGTTAATATAACATAATATAACATAGTAACAATGACCATTCCATCGCATATATATAGCATCCCACAATGCAATTAAGCTCGTTCGAGGTACTGTCATACCTAGCACCTGTGCGAAGTTGCCATACCCATAGCACCACAGCACGAAGTCACACGGAAATGGTACATTATATCGCTAGAGTAAATAGATAAATCGCTAAAGCAATAAGAAGAGGTAAACATACGTGCGAGCTAAACCCTAAATCCTCTCACCCCAGCAAACTTCGTTGCGAGAGGATGACGAGAGAAATAATAAATACGACACACACCGCCACAAGTAATGTCTAAACAACAATTCAACAAAGATTGATATAATCCCGTCCTGACACGCAGTGCCCACCCAATCCATTCATAATTTTGAGGAATAACATGCACTACGTTCGTGACAGTGACAGTTCATAGTTGAATAGGAGGGACCGAACACGCATATTAATTTCTAAATGTCTCCGTGACACAGTCAATATCTTATAACAAGCCTATATGATATCGACATATCGATATATGCAGGCACGTGGTTACTGGTAACTGGCCTTTACAGCTCCACGAGGTCAGGGACAATAGGTGTGTGAACAAAGATAAACCGTCAGTTCAATTAATTGGGAAAAGGTATTTTTAACCTTTGTGTTACACAGAACCAGAGAGTCTGGTCAAGGCTATTCAATTTCAGACCTGTATCGAGGTACATTGCTGTTTTTGTTATCGTATTTTAAAATCACAGCATTTTGCATCTAATACAGGTACGACATTTATTATATCTACATGAATTGGAATTATATACTAAATATGTGTTCCTGTTAAATATATTTACAATACGCTGCAAATTGCAGCATATAGTTCAGCTGCAGCGCCCGCAGCAATATGTATTAGAATAGCAACGGGCGCGCTGCATGGTAAGAACACATTTTCCTCGAGCTATAACCATGTCATTTTCAGTTTAATTCGTCAAATGACATATAATATCCGTAACGGACTGGACTATAGACTGAACTGAAATGTGTTTTTAAGGATGGCACGATATTTCAGATAATATGAACACTAATGGATCTCGAATCTTTTTTTTAGATATCACAAACAACATTGATTAGCTTCAATAATGTATGTATCACACGGCGTTATCGGCGTTCAGTCTAACAGCTAGCCGCGTAACGACATCACATTCCACTGACTATACGTATCCAGAGTGTACCGTTTTATAGTCTACACTTATAGTCAACATTCGATAGTTCGTTGAAATTGTACGGGATCCTGATCTACCTACTCACACCACACCGCCCAAATAAAATAAACACTGAAATGCAACGCATAGTTTTGATATATAGGCGAGTATATAGTAGCTGTACGAGCTGTATGCAGCTGCTGTATCGCAGCGCGCGCGCGCGTCTAAACCAACATCACCAACTGGCATCTGTGACGTGTAGTAAGCAAACATGTACGATTCCCTCTGCTGACACTTCAGCTAGATAATAGTGTCATAAAATTAATACAGGGATAGTACGACCAATAATTATGGGCGTCTACCTTCATAGTGCTAAAATATTTGCATAATAACTGGAAAGCGTGCATACTGCGATTATGATCAGACGATGCGTTGCAGTCTGACGAAGTTGTTCACATAAAATGCCACAATTAAACACAGCAGCAGCAGCAGCAGCAGCAGCAGCAGCAACAACAACAACAACAACAACAACAACAACAACAACAACAACAACAACCACAACAACCACAACAGAAGCAGCAGCAACAACAACAACAACATGCAACAACAGCAGCAGCAACAGCAGCAGCAGCAGCAACAACAACAGCAGCCACAATAATAATAATAATAATAACAACAACAACAACAACAACAACAACAACAACAACAACATCCATAATACTGTATACGCCATATTTTTCGCGGATAGATATTTTCGCGACTTCAGACTTGACCGCCAATTTCGCGAGTGGTTAATTTCGCGGTCAGTGAATTATGAATTATTCAATATTATTCAGTATGAACTATTCGCGTGTTGGTATTTTCGCGGTCGAGGACGCGTTCGCGAAATTCGCGAAAATTAAACCACCGCGAAATATACAGCGTATACAGTAACTGGAACCACGAAATTGAAATCAAGTTAATAGAAATCCAATCTTCCGTCAGTCTTAGTTTTCCAGATTAAACCTAGAGTGGTGGAGGACTAAATTTCCAAGGAATGTGTTCTGTATCTCTAGATAAGATTCTCTGATTCTCACGAGTGAGTTTGTTATAGCTGCCTTGTTGCGTTTATGGCAATGAGAGAGAGTGTAATTGCATGCATGCCTACAATGGCAGATCATCAATATTCAAGTCATAAATACTCGGACATGTCAATTGACTGGTCTATATACATAAATGCAAGTATAGATACATGGTGAAATGAGCATTGTGCATGAGCGCAGATGGCGCAAACACTGCATATATATAATGTGTGTGTGAGTGTGTGAGTGTGTGTGTGTGTGTGTGTGTGTGGCGTGCGTGCGTGCGTGCGTGCGTGCGTGCGTGCGTGCCAGCGTGCGGGTGGGCGTGCGTGCGTGTTTGTGTGTGTGTGTGTTTGTGTGTGTGTGTGTGTGTGTGTGTGTGTTGTGTGTTGTGCGTGCGTGGTGCGTGTGTGTGTGTGTGTATGTGTGGCGTGCGTGCATGCGTGTGTGTGTGTGTATGTGTATGTGTATGAGCGCGTGTGCGTGTGCGTGCATATGTGCGCGGCGTGCGTGCGTCCGGCGTGCGTGGCGTGCGGTGCGTGTGAGTGCGCATGGCGAGTGCGTGTGCGTGTATGTATGTGTGTTTGCTATAGTCGAAAATACAGATAAGCAGGATGTGTGACCTTATTTTATTTTATCTTGTGGTTTGTAGTAGCTTAGTGGTAACATAAAGCTGTACCGGTCAATAATCTTTTATAGGAAAGTTGGCCTGCATTTGCAGTGACCCCTTCCTTACATTTGGTTGTGGATTTTTAGCTCATCTGACATAGTCAGATGCAGCTTGTAGAATCGCATGATCGTCCGTCCGTCCGTGCGAG